ACGCCACGCCATCGGTCTCATCTGGTGGATGCTTGCCCGTGAGGTCCTCCGCCTCCGCGGTACCCTCGCCAACCGCGAGACTGAGTGGGACGTCATGACTGACTTGTACTTCTACCGCGACCCCGAGGCTGAGGAGAACAAGGACAGCGCTGGTGTCGAGGAGGCCAAGGTCCCCGGTGCCGATGAGGTCGGTGCTGGCCCCGTCGCTGAAGGCTTCACCAGCGAGTGGGAGGTCTCCGGCGCATCTGCCGGTGCTTTCACCGCCCAGGCTGCCGCTGCCCCTGGCACCAGCTGGGACGCTGACACTGCCGACTGGGCTGCGTCTGGCGATGCTCAGACTGGCAACGAGGGCTGGGGTGCTGAGACCGCTGCCCCCGCTACCACTACCCAGTGGTAGATGTCTTGACCCGTTTCGTCGATGCTTCTCTTACATACCCTGTCTTTGACAACCTGGCATGTGCCGGCGGCGTAGGAGTAAAAAGGAAAAGGAAATATGAGACCATTTGACAACGACTCAAAGATATAACCATGCTATGTCTGGAAGGGGACGTGTTGAGGGATATGATCAATGCTACGCGCTTATGAGGGAAAGATATCCATACAGTGTATGGGGGAAAGCCCTGTGCTGGCGATCGGGTTGTACTTAATTGGCGCCCAGTCCTTCAATGCGAACCTTGCTCCATGACTATTTTGACTACAACTTCCCACCATGCCATGCTTTGATGTGATAGTGAGGAAATTGATGGCCCCTCATTAAATCATCCTTTGTTGGGCCGTAAAATTTGACGCGCACCTGTTTGAGGCTTGATTGTTCTCCTGATCCGAGACAACCCTATAACGCTGTTAATACTACAACGTATGTTTTCATGTTGCTTTAGTCCGCGGACCTGTTTGGATTTTCCCTTGTGTGGAGTGGGGCTGAAAGGGTGGGCGCCTAATCGTGGGGGCGGTTGAATGTCTATTCTTGTAAGCACCATGCGCGAGCCCGGCGAATGCTCCGTAAAGTGCCAGGTCGATGCAAGCGATTGTATACCGAAGGAATGTGGGTGCTCGCTCTATTGGTCCGCTTCCAAAGCCGAGCTTACCACGTCCTGTTGTATCACTACATCTGGCTGCGCTCCGAACACGGGCCGCCTGAAACGTCACATCTTACTTGCAGACGGCATGAGACCAACGAGAACAACCCTCCCAGAGATTTGTCAGGATGCATCAATCCCTACTCCTCAGCCTTACTTTCCTGACGATACGGTTCAACAGTTCGACCAGACTACGAACCGTCACAAGCTTCTCAAGCGCTTGCATCCTTGAGCTGCTATGGAAAATACCAAAGAAGGCCCCCATCGTGGAGTCGAGCTTCAAACCGGAGGAAACCGCCATCACGAGATGGAAACTCAGCAATTGCTACCATTAACATCGACAGCGCATTCCAGAACGAATACTCACAGATCTCATCGCGCATCGATCTCCAATGTTTCTAGTGTAAGCTCCGTGGAGCCTGGCGGCGAACGAAAGTATTCATATGGCTTTATTTGCACTGCTCGTCCTAATACACACGCAGAAATACAATGGATGCCTTTTGCTCTACGCTGGTACTTTATAACTACCGCTGCCGGGTTTTCTATCACCTCTGCAGCCATCACATTCGCATTGTATCGGTACTCCCATGGTAACAACGGGCTGTGTGCTGAGGATTCAGCAATGCCGGGCTGGAATTTCATACCCACGCTGATCGCTGTGGTCTATACGCAATTGACAGGAATAATACTCGGCGCTGTAAAACGGACAGAACCTTTTGCAAGAATGGCCAAAACAAACGGAGGTATCCCGGTTGCCCGTTATACTTTGCTGGAAAAGGCTAAACCATGGTGGACAACTCTTAGTCGAGGCTTTCAGAGGCGAAGGAATGGCGGCTCGTGGAACTGGGTTACAATCCTCTCATGCAGCACGTATATCCTGGCCATACTTGGAATCTCACCGATGTCTGCTGCACTATTAAGAACAAAAGAGATACACCAAACAAGTCCTGAGACGCTTGCACGACTATCAATGCGCGAAGGATTGATGCTACAACCTCGAGCTGAGCGAGATACGTATCTGCGAACCATGGGCGCCATATTTCAGAATTATAGCTCCTCCCCCTGGATTACTGACGACTATGTCATCTTGCCGTTCTGGCCAAAGGATTCAGTTGATACTAGCTCCTACTGGGACTACAAGGTCCAAGACTCAGGAACTTATGAGGCAAACACCACTGTTTTCCACGCCGATCTAGTTTGCGCCAAACTAGATGTGAAGAATAAGGACATGTATCTCCGGCATGCACCCGAAGGGTGGGAAGAAGAGCCGGAAAAAAAGTTCTATCAAGCATCTGTCGTCCTAGAGTCCGATCAGGGTTGCCAGTTCAACCTCACTGTCGACGTGGAGTATCACGCCCTTACAACGGATTGGATTTTGTGGAGCGACGTCAACAACATCACATTGAGCGACTACATGATTCCAGATCCTATGGTTCGATTCAATGACCACTGCCATGAGAGTGAGATCATTGTGATGAGTACACCGTGGTGGCTCAGGCAAGATATCACGCCGACCGACAGATTCCTAGAAAACATGACGATGCTTGCACATGCATGTCACTCTAGCCATAGCATGGCCACCATACCCGCTCGTGCCACAGCCTCATCAGGGACATTGTCCGTCGAGTTCGACGAGAATCTCTTTCACCAAATCCGCACGCCAGTTCCCCCGACCGTTCTTGACTTACTCGAACTACGCAAGATTTATACGGACATTAAATGGAGCGATTTCGTCCCGCAAGAGTCTAAAACGTCTGATACCAATATCGATTTATATGATGTTCCCTTTGAGGGCCCAGCTGCGATCCTGGGTGTACCATACAACTTCAGTATCCCACGAATGATGGCGGATTCTCAACTGCCTGTGTTCGCTTCTCAATTCAGACGTCGTTTCTTCGCAGAAACTGTTGGTGGTTTTCTGCAAGGCACGGAAGTTTTAGAAGAACGTTCCACGGATGGTCATCGACTTGGATTTGTCCGGACAGTGCTAGTCAGCGGGCAAGCCGCCTGTATTACATGTGCTCTGTTACTCATTTGTTGCATCTTCTTTCTAGGCATCCTGTGGGAGACGCGAGCGGCTAAGACAACTCTAAGCATTTGCCAAGATCCAAGTACACTGTTGGGTACAAGTATATGGGGCAGCGGTGATGCGATGGTGTTGCGCAGTTTCACAAAACTCGACCTCGCCACAAGAAAGACACTAAAAGAAGAACTTGCTGGAAAAGTCTTCTTTTCCAAGCACAGCAAGCTTCGAGAAAGTGAGGCTGGCATCCAGGACGATTATAAGAGTACGTACCCACGGAACTATTGGTGTATCTTCTAACACACGGCAGAAAAGACGAGAGTGCAGTCCTACGACGTCGCACCTGTCCTGCCCATGCTACGACTAAGAAACCTGGCTCTTCTCATTCTTTACATCCTTGTCCTTCTTGCCGGAATCGTGGTGCTTTACGTCTACGCGCAAAGGTCAGAGCTTCATCAGGCTTTTTTCACCTATCGCGCCAACATCAAGCTTCTCGGCCATTCGAACACAGTGTCGCCCTTATCTGTCATCCCCACTTTGCTTGCTATTGTTGTCACGCTCTGGTGGGAGTCCGTTGACACCACTTGTAGAACGGTACAACCTTACATTAGCATGCAACATGATGCCAAGCGTCCTTCTGAGGGTATCGCATTGTCCTATTTATCATGGTTCTGGCTATTCGCATCACTGAAAGCTTTGAGGCACCGACATTGGTTGCTATCGCTTGTTACAACGACGACGTTTCTACTCCAAGTCCGTAAGTGCACATCCCAAATCTAAGCTGTGACTACAACTAAAAGCTACGGCCAAGTCACGATCGCCATGTCCGCTCTTTTTGACTCGGGTCATGGCGTCTTGACTACTTTGTCGGATATGCCCCTAGCATTGGAGCTGCGCAGTGTTCCATTCGTGCAAGAAATATCGGTAAACAGAGATCAATCAACCTGGCTGTTCAATTACACCATCGACGATAGAGGTTCAAGCGTACTTAGCGACATGGTGTGGGATAACCTGCAGAGCCTGTCAAAAGACTGGATGTACACCGCTATTATACATACCGCCCTAGAAGGACCGAAACCAGTATGGAGCCAAGATGACTGGAGTTTTGTGCCTGTATATTCCGATCTGGAAGGCTTCGCCTCGGTGGAAGATAAGAGTTCAGCCCGTAGGAGCGACCGTTCCGAAGAAAGCTTGAGGATCCAAACGTCCGCAATTCGTGCTCGCCTGGAATGTAGTGCTGTTGAGTGGCCCAGAAACTCGAGCCTGTGGCTGTTCCCGCAGAACGAAGGATATGGAGCTAACATCACTGGACTGGACAACTATTTCACTCTAAAACCGGTCGTTTCTCATCGCAATTTCACGACTTGGCTTTCCACCCAGGGCGAAATCCCACCGTGCTGCGCCAATCTCACTGGAAACGCAACGTACAATCCAGGCGTAGCCGCTTATTGGACGGAGAACTTGGAAGAAGTCGACAATCGCTATTACCGTTCCTCTGGCAATTTTACAGTGAAATGGATCCGAGGGACTAGAAAGATTGAACGAATCATCAAGGGTAGGCGCCGTAAGCCGGATGTACACAAGTTCATATTCCCAGAGCTACCCGCTATACAGGCATTGAATTGCATGCCTATGTTCGAGTCGAGCCGAGCAGAAGTTACGGTCGAGCCCAAAACCGGTGTCGTACAGCATTACCGCATCCTTGACACTCCTCTTCGGGAGGATGTCGCCTGGTCTGATACATCCCAATGGCGTAACCCTTCCGAAGACGCTCAGTACACCAACGTCAACACCCATCATGATCCTAAACTTGAAGTCAATAGCTCTGAATGGAGGGGTAGCAGTTTCGAGTCTTACGACTACAATATCAATACAACTACCAGGTGAGTTAAACTGTAAACATGGGTTGTATTCGATCTAATAGACCACATCAGTTACGGGCCCTTGTTCGTGCAATGGCTCTTGAATGCAGCGAATATCAATGGGCCTTCCTCCAAGAGCATACCCAGGCTATACGAAAACTCTCCAGCACCCAATCCTGTCAGAGAAGATGGCAGGGCCTTCAATATGCGAGACAACACAACAGGTCTTAATCTCGATTTCATGTCGTACGCTGCTTACGCACAAGTCGGATTTGATCCTACCGCCCTATTAGATCCGGAAGTCTTGGCTAGCACATCCCAAAAAGTCTTCTCGACCTTCTTTCAGCACTTTGTCAACAGCAATCTGTCTCGCGAATCCGGCGGTTATGTCTACCAACCTAGGGGCATGGAACTCAAGATCAACGCCCCAATGGACGACATGCCAATCCAGTACATGCCTGGCGGTTCCATAGCGCCAAAGTTTGAAGACATAGTCCGCAACACCAGTGCAACAACAACAGCGGAAACAAGCACCCAGGTAGAAGTTCTTCAGATGAATCTCGTCGCGTTCTGGATCGCCACAAGTATCCTAATCTGGCTTATCATCACCATCATCATTCTCGGATCCGTACAAAGGAAATACTACGGCGGCATGATGCGCAACATCGAATGCGTCGCCGATGTGCTGGTTCTTATCGCTGGAAGCGAACGTTTGCTTGAAGTTATCAGAGAAAAGGGCTTCGATGCTATAGTCAAGGAGGACAAGATGTTGACGCGTATGGGATGGTTCCGAGACGATGATGGGACCATGCGATGGCGGATTGACTTGGTTGAGGAAAAGCAAGTTCAGATGCAGCCCATTCGTCTGGGCCCTGGGTATGTTCCAGTGACGAATGGCAATGAGGAGTGCGATGTAGATGCTGGGTCTGGTCGTAGCGTATCCCCAGCAGGTAGCGATGACGAAGGCCATGTGGATGCTGTGTCGGACGCTAGCGTCGCCAGGTCGAGATGAAGTTGTATGACACCCCAGGTTTGAGGTAGGGGAACTCACTTCTTGGTTTCATCTCCATTGCCTTCTTCCCGGTACCATTCATCTTGTACCTGTACGGGGAGCGACTGCGAAACGCCAAGCTTTCCAGGGTGGAAATTTGACTGACTTTTGCAAGCTCTCGCTGGAGTACAGCAGGTAACGGTATCTAGTTGATGGAGGTTTGAAACGGAGGTGGATATGCCAGCTTTATATTTGTTGATACGCACGGTTTTTGAACGTGATGAATAAATATCTGCCCTGATACAAATGTCCGTTGGCGTTCCTTCCATTCGGGAATACCGAAATATCCTCAAAATGACCGGTGATGACGCTCATAAACTCGAGCACGACCTCCATGACAGGGCAGACTGCGGAGTCGGTATCATTGGAAATAATGATGCTATCGACCCGTCGTAAAAGACCAAATTCCCGCGGCTCTGTGCCATGTAAATTGACCGCAGCTGTCACATCCCGGGCGGGTGCATTCTGGTGTTTCGGCTGTCTATCCGTAGCCGGTTCCACATCGGCACTCCGCGCTAAGGCACCAAGCAACCGTGATTTCCTGTTCTGCGCGTCTTAGCTGCATCAAGACTGCACGCCAACAGGCTTAACGCGTCCCAACCAATGGGAAGCTCAGACGATCGCCGGCAGCACGGGCGCACGTCTCCACCAGCACCCACGGCGCCTGTCCTCTATCACTGTCATGATGGGCCTCGTTGCCGTTTGTGCCCTGCTACTGGCGCCGCTTAGGGAAGGCGGGATGCATTTGCGGCAAGCGGCCATGATGGAGATTGGAAGGAGCGATAGTAGCTTGGTTCGCTGGTTTGTTTGTCGAGACGCGAGAAGTTCTTCGTTCTTGTTTCTCTCAGCTATTTCACTCTCGTTGTCGCTGGTCTTTGCCTTTACGCCCGTTTGCGCTTCCTTTCTGCGCCTGTACAGTCGTTCGTTCGTTCCTAGTCGACGCCACTGCCGTTCACTGTGCACTTGTGGCGAGCTAGTGCGTTTACCTGATATTTGCTTGCAGCTATCGCGACAGAATTTCTCTTGCAACCGCGACACATTACAAGCAAACTACTTCGTCGATACACTGCAAGATGTTCCAATTGGTGTCGCTCAGCCTGTTGGCGGGCTTGAGCGCTGTCGCGTCGGCTATTCCTACCATTGAAGTCAAGGGCTCCAAGTTCTTCACCAGCGAGGGCAACCAGTTCTACGTCAAGGGTATGTCCGACGATAAGAGTCAATGTAGACGCACACTGACACTCGCGTCCAGGTATCGCGTACCAACTCGTTCCCGACGACCCACTGATCGACGCGACGCAATGTGGTCTCGACTCTGCGCTCATGAAGACCATCGGAGCCAACTCGATCCGTGTCTACCATGTCGACCCCGACTCCGACCACACCGAATGCATGAAGACATTCGCGGACGCTGGAATCTACATCTGGGTCGATCTCGATACCTTCGACACCCAGGTCGAGCAGAACACTCCTCGTTGGGAGACCGACCAGCGTGATGCTTTTGCCAAGGTCATGGATGAATTCCACCAGTACGACAACACTGCTGGCTTCTTCATTGGCAACGAGGCCATCACGACCGCAAACGGCTCCGTTACCTCACCCTACATCAAGGCCGCCGCCCGTGACATGAAGGCCTACCGCGACGAGAAGGGCTACCGCAGCATACCAATAGGATACTCTGCTGCCGACATCGCCAGTCTCCGCCCTATGCTGCAGAACTACCTCGCTTGCGGCGATAATGCGTCTGAGCGTCTCGACTTCTTCAGTCTCAACGCCTATTCTTGGTGCGGACAGAGCTCCTACCAACAGTCTGGCTATGATCAGCTTGAGAAGAACTCTGAGGATCTGCACATCCCCATCTTCATGTCGGAAACTGGTTGCAACACAGCAAGGCCACGCGATTTCAAGGACCAAGAGGCGCTTTTCGGAGAGATGGCCGACGTCTGGTCTGGCAGTATCATCTACGAATGGATCGAGGAGATGAATGACTACGGTCTCATCAGCTACGGTCCCAAGGTTGACCCTGCTCAGGCACCGGATGGTTTCCCTCGCTCAGGTATGTCGTGCACCCTACACCTTCCAGACACCTTGGCTAATCAAACACAGGAAAACCTACCCCAGTAGAGCCTGACTTCCCCAACCTCTCCGCTGTCTGGGCTACATTGAACCCCACCGGTGTGAAGGCGGCGGACTACAACCCCACCAACTCGCCTGTCGTCTGCCCCGACTTCACCACCTCAGTCTGGGAAGTCAACCCCACCTCTCCCCTGCCCACACTGGGCCAGAAGCACGACTTCAACGGTACGCCCACGTCTGGCAGCTTCAGCGCAACGGCGACTGGAGGCTCTGGCGCAGAGGAGTCCGGCTCTTCAGGAACTGGCTCCGACAGTGCGGAGACATCCGCGCCCCCTTCCACCGGTGCTGCGGCGGATGCCCTGGGCAAGGAGCTCAAGGGAATGGGTGCGCTACTCGCGGGTGTCATGGCCGTTTTCGCCTGGCTATGAGTGCGGTGAACGTTGCATTTTCGGAACGCTATCACCATGTTACGCGTCTCCGACTTTTGTGGACTTTGATGAAGGCTTAACGGAAGACCATGTTTAATGATTCAAGTATATATTTGGACGAAAAATTGTTGGTCCAGCTTTGCATGTAGGATTAGGACAGTAGAGTACTAAGAGAAGCTAACTCATGTTATACTCACACAAATCAATGACTGCATGACCGACCAACACGTGTTCTTCATACCTAGGTATAGATTTCGCGTGACAGCCCTCTACCAGGTGTCTTAAAAGTCGTAATCAGGATGTAACACGTACCCCCAAAAGTGTGCGCGAGATGAAAGCATACAAAGCAGGCGACCTAATGTCGATGAGACTCTAGAGTGTTCGGTTTTTCCAAGGTTAAAGCGGTCCCTCCCTTCTACCACAACGTGCCTGCCTACCTAGGTATCTCCGTCCCCGCACTTACCAACTTGCGGCTGAATCTGGCACTGACTTGCAGTCATGAAGGAACCCTATCACATAGGAATCGAAGCCGCTGCTGAACTTTGAACAACCCAACAATGACGCAGCTAGGCAGTGGCACGAGTGAGTTAAGCTGCGCGCCGAGCAGTACTCAACCTTGGAAGTATCGTCAGCGAGTACGGGCAAGCGCAATAGGTCTGATCCAGGACTTTGTGATGCTGCGAAGTACAACCACGTCATATGTGGAAGAAATAATGATTGGCAAAACATAAATTCAATACATCAATTCACACAAAACCGCAACAACCACCCCCTCCCCCTAAGCATCCCTAAGCATACTAGCAACCCCCGCCCAAGTCTCCAACACAGTCGGCCTTATCTGATTCGCCGGCAGCGTAAACCCATACGTGCCCTTATCCCTCAACTCGTACGTGTAAGAGTACGTCGCATTACCCGTAACATCAGTGTAATCGGTCGAAGAACCAGTTGTAGCATAGAGAGTCGCGCAGCTGGGGCCAATGGTGTAAGCAGTACCGGAGACGGCGCGGATAGCGGACTGCGCACGGGTGGCGATGGAGCGGTGCTGGGCGTCGTTTTCGGCGCGGAGAGTGCAGTCGTAGCCGTAGGGCCAGAGGATGTATTGGCCGTAGGAGCTGGGGTGGGGTTAGTTGTTTGTTTGTTTATGTTGGGAGGGCTGGTGGGGGATTGGGGACGTACTGCACGTCGAGGTAGAGACGGATACCGCGCGATGCTTTGAGCGAGTCGACCTGCGCCTTCAGGCCTCGGAGCTCGGGGGCGTCGCCGGCTGCTACGCCTTTGTAGGTCTCTGAGCAGGGGTTTGTGGATGCTCCGCCTGTGACTTCCCATTTGTAGGGCCAGTTACCTTGGAGAAGTGTCAGTGATGTATTCATTGGTGAAGGTGAAAGTGGACGTACGGTTGATGTCACGGCCGACACAGCTGTTACCGCTGACAGTCTGCCTGTTCTTGCGCCAGAGACGGTCGGTTGTCTGGGAGTAGACGAAGCCATCTGGGTTGGCGATGGGTGTGATGTAGAAGTCGAACTTGTCGACGAGGGACTTGATGTTTGCGTCCGAACCGTACTTGGTGAGTAGTTGCCACGCGAAGTACCTGTGTGGTGTTAGTAGTTGAAAGCATTTTCTCACAAAAGCTGACATACTCGGTAGTCATGGAGGTAATCCACTCTCGTGCGTGGACGTTGCCGTGAATAATGACGGCAGGCTTGGAGCCCTTGCCGCCGCTACCCCAGATGTGGATACCAGTCAAGGCTCGTCCCTGAACAGAGGTGCCGACAGTGACAATCTCAGACTGGCCAGTGTAGCCAGCCTGCAGGTCCCGGAGGAACTGGATGTGGTCGGCGTATGGGTGGTATGCAGTGAACCAGCTTTCGCTAGGGACTGGATATCGTCAGCAAGTGTCACAGCACAAACGAGACTCTCCACAAACCAGCATATACGCTCATCTCTCCCTCCTCGGCAAGCGCTGCGCCCACATCCTCGTTTAGTACCTTGCTCTCAGCCACCAAGGCAGTCAAGGCGTCGACATTCTCTGGTGAAACAACGACATCCAACTCAGCAGACGTGCCGGGGTTGAGGATGTGTGCAGCCAAGCTCTCGATCTCTGCCTTGACAGCATCGGTGCTGGCTACACGTAGTACCTTGAAGCCATTGTAGTCGACCTTCTTGCCAGCCCTTGGGACGACAGTGGCAAGCGCGGTGGAGGAAAGAAGGAGCGCCGAGGTAAGAATGGTGGTCTTCATGATAGGCAATGAATGCAACGACAGTTGTGCAGTGCAGTGCAGAACGATGCTGAGGAGAGAGCCTGCTTTTAAGTCGTGTAACCGTCACACCAGACCACAAACCACCTTCCCATCCAGTGTGTAGCACCGCGGACACCGTCCTACCTGTTACCCCAAGTCTCGCATCGATTAGGCAGGTACTCACCCCGTACTCCTGGCTGATCTCCTGCAAGCACGGGAGATGTACACTCGAAGGAGCTCAACGTAGATGATGCAAGCGCGGGAGGCTAGCAGTCCAAGGAATTCGGAACTCCACATCAAGATCTGGACGGTGGTTTAATATACAGCATCACTTGGCATGTTCTCTGGACGACGCGGGTAGAGAGTTGTGATTGGCGCGGAGACGTTGAGCTTGTCGCATTAGGCAGGTGCGGGTTTCGGAGACTACGCTGGCTTGTCTTGGCTACGAGATAGGCCAAATACAAAGTCTAGGCAATGCCAGGTACGTGATCTCGTGGTGCTCGTTAGCATGTTGACGTGCTGCAGTTTGGCGAGTACCTTAGCGAAGCGAGTGCCTGGATGGGAAGGAGGATGAAGATTGACCAGCCTGGATGCGCCTCAATAATAACTTGCTCGTATGCGTGCAATGCGAACAGCATCACCGCGTTCTCTCAACAACTTGGAACACCCAACTCTTTCAACACATTCGAGTAACCGAGTCTCAACCATTCGTCCACATGCTTCTGTCCCGATATCCATACGCTTCCTAGCATGCCTCCAGCATTTGCGCTTGCTCCCTCTGTGGTTCCTCTGCGACGGGGAACAACCACGAGTCGATCGGCCCACATGATGACGTTATGGGGAGGTATTTCCTTCTCAGACGTGCCCATGAGCGTGCGGCACCGCGCAATGAATGTCTTATACACATCAAGAACAGTCGAAGCGGGCGTATTCGAGAAGCCATGACTGAATTCTTGGACAAAGAACTGGAAAGGTACCTTCTTCGATGCGTCGGTGAGAGAAGACATGATGTAGTCGAAAGCATGTGGCGGCCCTCTCAAGCCCTGAAGGTGCTTGTGTACCCTGCTGCATCCACCCTTCTCCCCACAGTTGAAGATGACGTAGAAGTTTGGAAGCTTCCGTAACACTTGCAGCATGACCTCAAAGTCATCTATGTCAAGAGCTTCGTGCTGACGCTTGTACGAGTCCAGAGTCAACATGAGCAGTTGCGGCCTATCGACGCAGAATAGGTTGAGTGCTAGGTCGTGCGTGCCGTTGAGCTGTGTGATGTTGAGTCGTTCGTCTGGACAGAACATGTCGCTGCCAGGACCATATTTTCGTGATTGGTCAAAGGCATGGTTCGCGGCGCCTACGGTGTGAGGTTTGGTTGCTAGTGCTGGGCAGATCCGGAACTCCATCTGGCCAAGGTGTGAGTAAGGACTGGTGTGACTGTTGCCGTTGCTGGACTAGCTTACCGGGTAGCCTTCGTGATCTAATTTGATAGACTCATTGGGGCCGTAGACAATGACACCTTCAGAGACGAGCTTGTCGAATGATTCGGTGAGCGCTGCTTCTGTGACGTTGTCCATGTTGAGCTGCTGACTGTTGGGTGAGTTGCTGCCCAGGTGGTGAGTCGAGCGCGTGGAGTAACGAGACACAAGGCCTGTGCTCGAAGCTACGGAGTTAGTGCCGTATAGCCGGACTGAGCAGAACACCACAAAGGAAACGGAAAGAGAAGATGAAGTTTATGTAGCATTTGCAGCTAACCCATCCAAAGAAAGACATGCAGCACCAAAAGATGTCGCCAACCAGAAGTGAAAATGCCATCGTCGATTATAAAGTATATGCCCCTTTCCAAGATGCAGTCTCCCAACCGCAGAGATCAAGCAGTGTACATGGATGTGGGCGCAATGCCGGGGTATCGTGGTATCGTATGAAGAGGTAGAACTATGAGGTCTCAGGCTTGGCGGACAGTGGCCTCTCTACCAGGACATAGTCAGCACTGGTAGTCGATGTAGGAGTCGGTGTCTCTGGTAGCGCACCTGGCATGTTTTGGGACTTTGAGGCAAGGGGGCTGGCGGCCCCTTGTGACCGAGCGGCGTCTTGTTCGCGCTGGGTGTCGTTCTTGGCTGGGGGCGAGTTGCTCTTTGCCTGGTTGAGGCGCTCTTCGGCGGCCTTGAGCCTGGCCTCGAGGGCCTCGAGCTCCTTGGTCTGGGTCGTGACTGCCTGCTTCCTGCGCGCCTGTCAGCGGGCTCCAAGTAGCGGTGAAGAGGGCGGGCCATACTTCTCCAGGACCGTCTTGTCCAGAGTCGCGAGGCCTTCGTCCAAGTTGAACAGGCTGTCGAGCTCCGACATGAAGTTGCGGGCTAGGGTGCTGCAGGCGTGGTCAGTCTCAGACAGGCGGGAGCTATGCTAGCGCCGGGAGAGCTCACGATTGAGGGCGGTTGTTTGGCTTCCAGCCTTGGTCTGGGTCGTCCATGGTGGCCGAGTGTGCAGGGTACGAGGAAGTCATGGTGATGGGATGGGGAGCAGGAGCGGGTTATGCAAGAAGCAGGCGGCGTGGGGAGGCTCGGGGACAGTGGATATATTTATGGGCTGGTGCAAGAGTAGACAAATATGGGCAAGTGGCTCAGCGGATCAAAGATGTTTCATGCAACTCAGCCAGACCTGGGGTGGAGGGGAGGGAGCATAATATGGCGACCCTGGAATAGAGAGGGAAGGACGATTGCAATGTTAGGAAAAGGGGACGCCTATGCCCCAAGCTAATTTGGGCGTAGATCGGAGGTGGAGCTTGGAGGAGCGAGGGATCAATGATAGTTTGAGCGCCGCTCCCGAGTGCCCGACGAAGAATGGCCGACGATACGGGCACAACGACAACAACAGGGAGTTGTAGGTGCATGTGCAGCAGGATGTAGAGGCATATAGGGCTATAAAGCTATGCTATCCCAAAGTATCACAGTACATCAGGGCCCGCTGTCAGGTCTGGTTCTGGCCCCGCGCCCGCGTGAGGCGACGTGAGGCCGGACGCGCCTGATTGGCTGTGGCCGGGGGCGCCCGATGGGGGCTTCAGGCGGCTGGGCTGCGAAACCCCGACGACAATTTGCGACATTGCGACAATCTCCCTCGACACCACCAAGCCCCCGTCCATCTCGCCCAATCTCCCCGCCCGCCGCGCCCATCACGACTCTCGCATGCGATGCCCGTCTGCCCGCCGTAGCAGCCTCTCCGTCCACCGCGCCCGCGCCCGCGCCCGCAGCCGTGGCTCCCCTTCCGCCCCAGGCCCATCGCCCTCGCGCTGCACACGCCTGGGGGATGAATACTAGCGGCTCCGCCTACACCAACCTCGAGTCGCTGCTGCTGTTCCAGTGCCTGCATGCCTACGGTGTCGCCCCGTCCGTCTTCGGGCGCATCTCCGACCTGCTGAAGAAGCACCCCGACGTGGCCGCCCACAAGTACTTCCAGCCCGGCCGCCTCAGCCCCGATGCGCTGCGCAACTTCTACCTGGAGCGTCTGAAGCGGGAGCTCGAGCACGAGCAGGGCGGCGACAGCGATGGCCTGAACGGGGAAGTCACGAATCCGGCCAAGAGAAAGAGGCATAGCCCAAGTCTGCCGACAGTGCAGGAGTCGCTGCAGCACCAGCACCTGATCCCGAAGCTCGTCACCAAGCTCTACGCGTCTTATCGATATGAGATCACGGAGCAGATGCGGATAGAGGAGGAGCGCTACGAGCGGCTGCAGCGCGACCTCCAGGGCATCGAGCGCGGCGAGTGGGACGACCAGCTGCGCGAGAAGGCAAGCGGCCGGACACCGTCATCGCGCAGTCCTACGCTGCCCAGGAAGTCGCCGCATCTCGCCCCGAAGACGCTGCAGCCGAATGCGAACCCCACGCCTGTCCAGAATGGCACGCGTGGAGCGCCCGTCATCGCGTCTTCCCCAGATCCATCTCAACAACAGCCGGGATCCGCGCTACCACACCAAAACGGACACCCTTCGCCGTCCCAGCGCAAGAAGCCGCATCCCTCCTCAGATGGGCGACGGACGCCTTCGACACCGCAGCCAAACCCAAGTCAGCCACATGCACCGTCGCGATTCCAGCAACCGCCGCAACCCCACGCCAACTACAACTACCCCCAGAACATACAGCCCCAGCCGGGCTCGCACCAGAATGCCGGCCATCCTCCGCAACCGCCTTCACCAGCGCTTGGGTCTCCCGGGCCCCAGTTCCAGCCTCAGCCAGGCCAGAACTACGCGATGAATGGCGCGCCTCAGTATGGGCCGCCGGGCTCCCAACCGCCATACCCTCCACATCAGCAATTTCCCACGCAACATGCTTCAGGGCCTCATTCACCCGGACTTCATCATGGACAACAGCAGAGGGCGCATTATCCCCCTCCTGGTCACCAGCCCTACCACCCACTGCAACCGCAAATGGCCCAGCCACCGCCCCAGGCAGGCTTCATGCTTCCACCGTTCCAAGTTGCGCCTCAAGACCCCTCGCGCGTTCACCACCAAGCCGCCGTGCCGCCGCACCACCCTCAGGTCTCCACGCCTGCGAGCAACCGGCAGCAGCCCAGAGCAAACATACAGACTCCCGGCACCGGTACCGGCAGATCAGGCGCGCCTCAGATGCACCCCCTCGTCATCCAGGCGAGACAATCTTTCTCCACGCCGATGAACCCGCGTTCTCCGCACAGCGCTCTAGCGACTCCGGTCTCAGCCAAGAGTCTTTGGAAACGATCAAGCTTTACTGGGACACCTGGAAGTGCTGCGAGCCCGCGCCCCGAAGTGCTTCCTCTCGACGACGTACCGCCGCTGATCCGGCCGAAACAGACACCACCAAAGGCGAAGACGCAGCGCAAATCCCGGACAAAGGGCAAAGGAAAAGAGGCAGAGCAAGAGTCTACGATAGACGTCGAGACACCACAAAACTCTCAGCATCACGACCAAGAAGACGACTCCTTACTAGAGCCCGAGACTCGGTCCGGACGTTCACGGAGAAAAGCTCCTGCGAAACGAACAAGGCCCGGCAGCATAGCCTCCTCCCGAGCAGGTGGCTCTGTGCGGGATCGAAGTCGCAGCCGGTCCATTCTCTCGCATACCGATACAGTAGCAGGTGACAACGAGTCGCAAGCTGGTCGTCGCATCAAGTCAGAGCGCGGAAACTCGGTGGACCCCACTGAAGAGGAAGGTTCTGTTGGAACCCCGTCGCACATGTCCACACGACGCCGTGGAGCAGCTCCGGCCTCATCACTCTCATCACGTCGAAAGCGCAATGCCCGTGAGGCCTCTCTCGAAGAGAACGACGATGCGTCCCTTAGCACCCCAGGCCCGCCCAAGACGCTGGTCGCGCCACGGAACTTCGCCCGCATGACGGCACCCATGATGTACGATATCAACTCGCACAAACATGCCTCGACATTCAACACGGCCGTTCGCGCGAAGGATGCAGAAGGATACTACGACATCATCAAGCGCCCTACAGATCTTTCTTCCATCAAGAAAGCGATCGCAACAGGCTCAAAGCAAGTTGCCGCAGCTGCAGCCGCGTCCGATAACCCCACCGGGAGTCCTGGTGGTGTCATGGGAGGCGTTGTCGAGTTGCCTGTGACGGCCGACAATGTCCCGCCCAAGGCCATAGTCAACGCTGCGCAACTGGAGAAGGAGCTCATGCGCATGTTTGTCAACGCCGTCATGTTCAACCCTGGAGAGGACGGCGTGGTGAACGATGCGAGAGACATGTTCCAGACAGTCCAAGGCCTAGTCAGTACTTGGAGAGATGTGGAGAGGGATAGCGGACGCGCGGGAAATGAGGGTACACCATCGGTTGAAGAAGAGGACCTACCCACCGCGAGCAAACGAAGGAAGATATAGTATAATCCTCGAACGGCTAAGCATGATTGATCACAGCATGGGAAGGAGTTGGCGGTGATTTGGAGTATACATCGATACCATGTCACGACACTGCTGCGGCAGGCTACCACTTTTAGAATTGAACATTATCCATCTTGACTATCTTCATCATTCACGCAGCAGTCAGTAACACGGCCCACCTCTACATTCCTGTCTTGTTGGTAGATTCCCGTCTCTGGTGATGTCGAAGTGACTGCTATCTTGGGTCTGCTTCGGGTGGACCCTTTGCTCAGGCTCTTTTACTTTGAGGTGAGAGAGGGTGACCACGAATACCTGCGCCCAGCATATAAAACACTGTCGGGTCTATCCTCTCCCTCCGTCTCTCCTACCTTCTCAACCCTCCTCATCTCGCACGCGGACGACCACCAGCTACAAGTACCTGTCACTTCATGATGGATACCTCTAAGACTACGACACCTCCGGCGACACCGTCGCGCGCCTCGATTGATCCCGCTCCCAGTACCCAACGCTCATCCGTCTCCATGCATCCACCCAGGATGGATAACAGTGACGACTTCATTGAGATTTCGCACGTTCCAGATCTTGTTGACGTTACCCCGTCGCAGTAAGATATACTCGACGCTGTATACATTGCCATACTAACTTACTCGTTTCAGGATGCTCATGCAAACGCCAATTACCATCGAATGCGGAACGGACCTCGCGACTAAGCTCATCTTTCATCAAGAGATCATATGCTGCAACAGCAAGCAACTCAGCAATCGATTCGAAAAGGCGAAGCCCCTCATGGCTAACTACAAGAAGGCTGACGAGTTGCGAAACGACTTGGCCAGATATGTATTTCCTGAAGTCGACCCGAAGGAGTTCGAAGATAAGAAGATGGATAGACAGGTATGTCTCGTCAGTATGCCCTGGATGTGGACGACCGAGCATCAGTGGTCCATCCACCTCATCCAAGGGAAAAGCTGAACATAACCGAGCCTGCATCAACACTACGTCTTCGCATTCACCTTGGGCTGTTCTGGTGTAGGCTGTAGGCCTGTTCAGTTTCTTCCTTGCATGAGGTACGCTTTTGATGTTCTACTGCTGACACTTCATAGGCTATACCATTGATCAAGACAGCATCCGAGAACTACCCTCTGATCGGATATGCCAGTCTTGTCAAGAAAACCATCATGGACGCAGTAGCGAGCGAGATGATCGCCAAGACCAACAGAAAGACGGCACAAAATCCTGCAGCCGATTTGAGTCTGGCAGGCCGTTTGGATCTCCTCAAGCCCCACGCCGTGCACACTGTAGCCGCGAAGCTCTTTACCTACGTCCATCGCATCAACAAGGCCGAGATCCGCAAGGCTGAGGAGGACATCATGAAGGCTACCGCTCAGCACCGCATCATACTTCCGGGTGTTGACGAGTCAACAGTTCGAGCGCTCATGCAGTGGATCTACCAAGGTCCGCAGCCGTTCGAAGGGTCGGAACAGACCTACGCCGTCATGAAACTCGCCGAGAGGCTCGGTGTTGATGTGCTTGCCACCAAGTGTTGCGACGCGTTGTTCAAAGCCACTAACGCGAGTATCGAGTGCGCCGACGCCGACGGTACCTCTTTCCAGACGCTCATAGGATATGGCACGAAACCCGCCGCTGACGACATTGTGAGAGTTGTTTTCGAGCACGCTATGAAGGACGGGAACGCGCCTGAGAAGCTCAAGACCCTCGTTATCGACGCCCTTGCCGGGTATCTGGATCCAGAACTATGGCAGCACGTTAAGGGACGGATCAGCCACAAAACAGCACTCCAGATAATAGAGGCCATGGTTGAAATGCGACCACTTGTCAAAACCGAGATGGACGGGCAAGACAGCATCAAATCCGAGAGCCAGGAAACCTCCAGCGCGACCGTTCCAGAGAGCATGGAAGTCGACGAGGACAAGAAGCCCATCCACGTCAAAGAGCAGAAGCGAAACCACCTCTGAGGACGAAATCCGTGCGCTGCCACCAAGTCAACGAAACCCGAAGCCGATGAAGACTTCCAGGAAGTAGGCGAGTGATGCCCTGGGGGCGATGGGGAAAAGTACAGTCTGGAGGTATCTACGGATCGTAGATCCCTCATATATATTAGTGATTGCTTTCTGCGTTTCATTTCTTGCTTTCTACGCATATTCCAACGAGGAGATGGGGAGTATTACTAGCATATCATTCTTCTGACTTTTCTATCCAATCAGTGGTTGCACATGTGACCAATCGACTCTTAACGGTGGAGGGTTTTAGTGTGTTCTACGTCATTTTAAGTTCTTGCGGACGAAGGTGGGTGGACTCTAGGGACGCTTACTTAGGGGCATGTGTCCTAGGTCGCTACGCTCATACAATGGACAGCCTGACCTGTATGTAGTGTTACGTCGGCAGTGCGAAGGTGATACCGCATATTGATTCGTATGGGGAAGGGTCTTCGATCCAGCAGCCGCCCGAGATTGTTGATGCCTTTGTATAATCGATGCAGAGCCTTCAGTGGCGAAGTAGCGTTTTTGCGCAACGCTTTCTCAAAAATGCTGGTGTGTGTATCCCTTGCGTGCGACAGTTTGAGCGAGTCATATCCCGACGACCTGGTCTAGTGACGGGAGCGTTCAGCGGGGAAGGGGGGACTCGAGGGATATAGCGGCTGCCGCGGGTGTGGTGTATGGGTTGCACTATGATGTAGCTTCGAAGAAGGGTTTGCCGTCCACTGGACGCATTAATGAAACGGTGGCATACTACTGCGGAGCTTTCCATGATTAGTACCTGCCCATCGGCATCACGTCATATTTCCACGATGTTCGACGACGTTTCTTGATGAAAGGGTATACGGTGCTGAGGCTAGCAACAGTGGCGTTATTGTCGATACTTTGTGGGAACACATATGTACCAATCATCTCTGCAAGAATGTCCATAGCGCCGCAAACCCCACTCACGGTTCGTACGACACGTTAAATGTCTAAGCTCTGCTACTGTAGCCTAAATCGCTGAGGGTATGGCGTTTTGTTATAGCGTACGTTGCTTCATCGCCCAGTGGAAGACTCAACGTAGGCTACCGAGGGTATCGATATACTATCGATCGTAGATATGGCTGTTCGATCGACCAAATCCGTGGCCATCATCGAGATTGTTCGATGATGAAGTTCAGTCGTGTGAGGGGTGCGTCTGCCAGTCTCTTTTGGGGTAGATCCTCCGCTTGATGTGAATTCTTCCCGTCGAGATGATTAATTCTGATCGGCCCGCTGGGGGTAGTGACAAGCTGCCGCGGTTTCTACCCGTGACTTACCTAGGTATGCCACGTGGAAGGCGGTGTCATGCCTACAATGAGATGCGGTACGCCGATGTCATAAGCGGGACATGACAGAGAGAAAGTTTCCGTGATTCTCGTCGATTTAGGTTGCTTAACGCGTCGCAGGCTTCTCCTGCCACTTGGAAGCTTCTCCAAATCAGAGCTGTCCTGATCTTACCAAGGCCTCTTGGTGGCGTAATTGTAGTAGGCGTAGCCCGTCTCTGTCTCGCTAGTGTATGATCGCAAGAGGCGATTTGTTTGGCGCAAGTGCTATTTCCCCAGGAAAGCCCTCTGTCGTGCAACATGAGCCGAATAGCCTACGTAGCTGCCGCCGGCTTGCTACATGACACAACGTCACACGTCCAACGGAAGCGGGATATCCAGCGCAAAACACCGTCGTTGCGTGTACAAAGACTGGCAAGAACAGAATTTTGGAGAAAGTCTGGAGAGGGATCCAAGGGCTAGAGCTGGAGCCGTTGCCGCTTTCGCTGCGCATTTCTTATCTAGCGTTAACCTGTGATATGAAGTCGTTTCCTTGATATCCCTGTCCTACAAAGGAGACATCTGGCCTTGAAAAGGCGGGCCGCTGTCCGCAATCGTAGCATTGCATCAGCAATCATGTTCCAATTCTCAGAACTTCTGCAACTACCTCAAATCTTCCGCAAAGACGAATCGCGATCCAGTCGGCGTCGACAGCTTCCAGAAGATGGTCTCGAAATGTCTGACATGTCCGGCATCGTCACTCTCCAATCGACAGACGTCTCTCCACGCTCTTCTTTGGACTCAACGCGCTCGGCATCTTCATCATCATCATCTTCCAGTACTTTGTCAGCAGCTTCACGATCAGCAAACTCACCAAAACGGCGATCATCGCGTCTTCCGACCCTCTCTTCGCCATACTTGTACGAAACGCCGGTCTCTTTCTCCGGGCCACGGGGGTGCTCGCACGGAATGTACCGCTAAAGACTCGCGAACAGCGCCCGGGCGCTCATGCTTTCGAACATGACATCTCCACATGCTTTCGAACATGACATCTCCACTAGCCGTCCGGCCTTGATGAGAAGACTGGAAACCATTACCCGGGAAGGTTGATGGAAGCTGTGCCTGTGTTAAATATCTACGTCTCTAAATGGGACGTTACGGCTTGGATATAGGATCGGGCTGGAGTTGGATCAGGTCAGACTTGTGAATATGTGGCGGTTGAGTGTACCGTGAAAAGCTTTTCGTTTCGTACATAATATCCATTTAAAAACCTAATGGTCGATTATTCTACTACACTAAAGTCCTTACAATTATCAAATGAGGTAGGGAAAAGAAGTCTGGGAAATGCGCTCAATCTAGGTAGCAGACAACTTCAGTAGTTCCAGGGTGCTTGTATACGTCATTCGCTAGCGCTAACCAAGTCCGGGCTAATGCGGAAGTCTTCCGCTTCCGATCCGCCTTCACACCAGCATTTCATCTCAGGAACTCGACTTCGTCAAACATCGTGTATCACCTACTCTGAGATCGCCCCAATGAATGAGCAACTTTGCGCAACTTTATTGACGCTATCCGTGCAGCTATCTGCATCGCTGCCTCCGATGCGTCCGGAGCGACCTGGACCGCGATCCAGTTCATGTCCCCAAACAGCGGCATCGTGCTCTCGACTGATAATAGAGTCCATTGAGAATACAGACTTCATTGATGTCGGAACTTGAGGATGGCGATCGGCTCACCTCATCCATCGGTTAGACGAGAGCCAGCGTGGTCGCCGTCGTCTAACATGTCGCCATCTCCAGTGAGCTGTGGTGGACCCTCATCTGCTAAAGACACCAACTCGTCCTTGTCTGGGTGAGTAGAACCGCCCTCATCCCAGTGCTCTGTTCGAAAGTGGGTGAGGAATACCACACCATGACCTTCAATGCTCACGTTGCATACAGGACAATGCCTGAGGCCTTGGTTCTGAACCGCTAGGCTCCATACTCTTGGGATATTCCGGCGAATATGCTCTCTCAGCGCCTTTTCGACATGTAAATCTACGAGACCACGGAAACGAGAGTGTTCCCTTTCCCATACAGCGCCCAAGGCTAAGAGCAACGCCCGGCTGGCAGCACTCGGCTCAAGCGCTCTAAGAACGGTCGTCATGTCCTTGTACAGCTGTGTGGTGTGGTATTCCAATGATTCTTCTGGTGCTTGCCGACATATGAGCTGTATCGATACAATTTGAGCCATCAGGATATCGAGATGCTCTAGTCGCAATTGCAAGTCTTCCACGCACCGAGAACGGACGGTGATAGCGGCACTGGTCTTGGTTGCGAACACCACCGTTGGACAACATGGTGGTATAGTCACAGCCTGGCCGGCACGCTGAACGAAGGCAATACCGTTTTCCAACTCATGGCATACATTTGTGCAGTATGGCGGGACATTTCCGGCAAGATCTTTGAGATACTCGTGCAGGGTCGTCAGATTATGTGGCGTAGGCGGATACACGATGTACACGCGCACACCAGTAATGACATGTATGGTACTGGTGCTCATCAGGGCTGACGCCTCCAAGGGAAGAAGGGCACCACAGGACATGATCGAAGTGGTGTCGGTGGATGATCGGGTGAGCGTACTCGAAGTCTCATTCTCGCCCTGGAAAAGTCTGAGACAACGGTCTATTACAGGCGATCGGAATGTGAGCGTCGTCGCGTATGCGGCATAGTGTTGATCGTCTAGGTATTCCACAAGCGTTCGAGCTATACTCTCCCGACTCGCGTCACCTTCTAAGAAACGGAGAGAAAGAGGAGCGGGTCTAGGCGGATATAACTGCGCTTCGTCGACCCAGCACTGGTGCTTCTCCAAGATCTTCCTCAGTGAGCGCGGGTGTGGCCAACCAGCGCCTGTTCTGTAGAGTGTCAATTCCGGAATGTCAGTGACTTTGGAGGCACCATAAACAGTAGCAGAACTCTGGACAGCGTTGCCATTCTCAACACTGAGGAGACTGATACGGCCAGGGATTATGAGATCGGCGAACTCTGCTGCACGAGCAGCTGGACATGACTGAAGCTCGCGGATGAAAGGATCGAGAGTCCACAAATGAAGGGTGGTCGATGTCGCCTTGGGGTTGCCCGACATCATTGGTATTGCGGTTTCTGCGACTAAAACGGCTGAGTTGGTGTAAACGCAAAGATCAAGAATTATTAGAGTAGAGCAGAAGAGTAAGAGTGTCAATATTTGTACGAAAGATAAGCTTACACTAGCGTAGAGGTAGGTGCGCCAACCGTAAAAGAGTGAAAGTGCTTTAGACTTCCTGTTTCAGCGCGCCCTAGTTGTAGAGAGAAGCAGCACAACTGCCGCCGCAGCAGTGTCAGCCCAAATTAAGCTTAGCCAAAGCGATACCCGCGGACATGTGCAAACCTGCTTCCAAATCACCGATGCAAACAACTATACGTAGTCAAAGCCTAAACAAGGATATTTATACTTGCGTTACAGACTTCTTAGTAGCATGTTAGACTTAACCACTACACAAAACAACAGTAAGAAGACTTAAAGCAGCAATGTCGCACATAGTTTGGTACCTAATAACCCTGATATTGTTAACTTCGAAGAACCAGATAACCTGATAAACCTAATACACTCGTCTTCTGTAAAGCGAATAACGCAGATGTCTACTATCGCGTTAATAACTCTACTCGTGTACGTTGGGCT